GACTCCCGCGAGAAGACCCAGCGTCGCCCGGGGGTTCGGGCGGCCCCGTTGAGAAGCAGCTCCAGGTCCACCTCGCGCCCTTTTATTTTCCCCTGCGCGTCTGGTCGCGGCTTGAGGAAGCTTTTGGAGACCTGGCGTGCCTGCCCATTGCGGGCCGCTTCTCTGCGCGGCCTCTGCCGCCCTCTCTCCCGCTCCTTGGCCGGGCCGATCGCGGAGCCCCGCTACGGGGAGCTTTCTCTGGGCTGAAGGCGCAGGCCTGCGCTCGCGACGCGCCGGAGGCCCACTGTGGAGAGCCCCCTTTGCAGCAGCCGCGCGGCGAGCTCGCGCGCCGCCGCCGGCGCGCGGGGGGGGCAAGAGAAGCCTGGGCGGAGCTTCGATCTGCCACCCCGCAGGGCCCCGCCGCGCCCGCGGCAACCGGCGTTCGCCGCGCCGCCCCAGCTCCGGCAGGAAGGCCACAAGCGCTGTCAACAGGTAGCTTCCGCGGCGACGGGCGGCCTCGTTCATGAGCGGGCCCTCCAGGATGGAGACCGCCCGCGCGTTCAGCTCCTCGTCGGACAGCTCGGACTTGTTCTTGGCCCCGCGAACCCCCCTGCACCTCTTCTCGCGCTCCGCTCGGCGCATGCGCGCGCCCTCGGTCGAGGCCCCCCGCGGCAGGAAGCTCTCGCCGGGCTCGACTCCCTCGGCGAAGCACGCGCGTCTGCCAGCGGCCCTGGCTCGGATGCGCGGGCCCGCCGCGTCGCAAGCGCCGCGCGCTGGGGCGTCGAGCCCGGGCGGCGACTAGAAGGACCGCCGCCGGCGCCTGGGCAGTTTCTCGGGCCGCGGGCGCCGCGCCCACCCGGGCGAGGAGGCCCGGCGTCGGCTTCCTCGTCTCTCGCCAGCCGCCTCGGCTCGAAAAACCTACTGGCGCCATCCGCGAGGTTGAGCTCTGACGGCGCCCAGCAGTCAACGGCCGCGAGCCGTCGGCCAAGCTGCGGCGCGCATCGCCTCCCGCGGCGGGCGAGCAGCTGCTGGCCGGTCGCCCGCCCTGTCAAATAAGCCACGATAGTGCTGGGGTTGTCGCCTAGCTGGAGAACTCTTGTTGCCGGTTCAGCAGATGATTTTCAGAAGCGTCGAGCGCCGCAGAGAAGTGCGGCGCTCTTCCACGTGGGTGGCCGCCAGTCTCCGAATCCTCCACTTAAAAACGTGCTCCCAAACAGACTTCTGATCGGGGCGCCCTGGGAACCCGGGTCGCCCCCCCAGAGCTCGCGCCCCGAGGTGGCCCGGCATGTCGCCGCGGCGGGGCCCCAGATGGGGCCCGAGAACGCCGCGCCCGGGGCCCGCTCGCGATGGCCCCCGAGACCAGCGTGTCTGAATCTGAAGCGATCCACCAACCTCCCCACCTGCTGTGCCAGAGCCTCCTCACAAGGCGTCTGGGCCACTTCCATCCCAGTCGCGCGCGTCGCACGCGAAAGCCCGAAGGCGCCGCGGCAGACGGAGCTCGGCAACGCACAGCGGCAGCAAACGATGTGCAGCCGCGATTTCGGCGACGACGCTCGGCCACAGGATTTCTCCCGCTAGTAACAACATCGGATAAATGGGCGAAAACGAAGTGCCCCACGAGCATGTCCAGCCGTGCGCCGCACAACCTCTTCCTGCTCAGGGCCCGCCGTAGGGCTCCGCGAAAGCGGCCATGCCGCCTCTCGTTCAAACGCGCCACCCTCCACGCGCGGTCGATCGCCGCCCCGAGAGCCCCATCCGTCCACGGCCTCGGTCGCGGCCTTCCGAGTTTGTTGAACCTCGATGGCGTTCAGATCCAGGGCCCCAGCGTTGTCGACGTACACGTCGCGAGCCAGATCCATGCTATCAGCGTCGAAGACCGCGTTGCAGGAGCGGTTCTCAAGGGCATTCTCGGGCTTCAGGTTAGGCGCCCAGTAGACGGCATTACGCCCGGCCCCATGCGCAAAGACAAGCATCCATCGGTCGCGCCCTGGAGCATGGGAACGCAAGCTCGCCCAGGGCCGCTGAGGCCCCCCCCCCCGCCACCGGCTCAGCCCCCGGCCCCGCGGCTTCGACCGGCGGGTGGCCGAACAAATCGCATGGTGGAGGACCGTCTATATCGTGCCTATCAAAGCAGCTAGATATGTCACCCTTAGAGATATGCACAGCGCATCACGGGGCCCCACCTCAATGCCAGCGCAGTTCTCAAGCGTCGCCAGAGCTACGCCGAGGGGGGGCCGGATCCTCGGTTTGCCGCGCGAGAGTCAACAGTCAAACGAAGCTAGTCGTCCGTCAGAACAACGCACAACAGAGCGCATTCGGCCTGGCGCTGCCGCCGCCAAGTCACTATGCCCTTACGGTGCAACTCTTTCACGCATTCTACATGGGCTCGGCTGCCCCCCATCGGAGCCGGGGTCCATGTGGGGCTTCGCGGGTGGCTCAGACCTCCGCCCCTCCTCATCGCAGAGAAAATCAATAGGCAAACGTTCGAACATCGAACGCTCTCGCTCGCCCACCACTTCGGCCGCTAGAGGGCAGTCGGCCGCTGGGGCGCCGCCGCCGACGAGCCTGCGCCAGCCGGGCACAACTCCGGGATAATCCAAAACGGGGCGGCAGCTCGGCATCTGCCAGCGAGGGGAGACCTCGCCGGGGAGCCCCGACCCCAAGCTGTCACAACCACGCGTTGCCCAGTCCTGCTCCGCCCGAGGCCCGCGACTGAAACGGATATCAAAATTGCTGCGGCGCTATGCGCCCGAGCGAAACGCGCGCGGTCTCTCGCCCCGCGCTGGGGCGGAGGTCGGGCGACGCCCCCGCCCCGTCTGAGGCCGCCTGCTGCCGGATTTCTCTCCGCGAAACTTGCGGGCCTCGCGCGCCCTCTCGCGCGATCGTCGACCTCTGTCTCGTCCGCGAGTCTGGCGGCCAGGTGGCTCCCGAGAGCCTCGGCGGCGCCCCTCGCCCTGCGCCCGAGCCCCGCGAGGCGCCCCGGGCCCTCCCAGGCAGCCGCGCCGTCGCCTGAGTTCACGTCCGCGACCAGCTTGAAGCCGCCAGAGGGCTCGCCATCGCCGGCGTCGCTGGACGGGGAGTCCTTGTCAGCGCCGCCGCGGGAGGGGCGAATCGCGATCGCGTCGCCCTCGCCGTCCACGCCGACGGCGGCGAATGTCGCCCCTTCCGAGAGGAGCTTCGCCGGCGTGCCTATGACGATCCCGATCGGCGCCAGGCCAGCGTCATCGGCGATCCGTCCGCGCACATCCTCGACCGGGTCGTTGTCGCGCGTGCTGCAGCACCAGTAGCCGACCAGGTCCATCAGGAAGCTGCGGACGCGCGCGAGCACCACTCCAAGGGCTCGAGACGACGCGAACCGAGCTCCCGACGCCCTGGCCGGGGCGGCGGCCGCCTGGCCCTCCGGGCGCGCGGCGAGCTCCAGGCTGGAGGCCCCCCCGCCGGTGCCTCCACTGGCGGCCGCGCCCTGTGGCCCCGACGCTCCACGGCGACTGGCCACCGGGGCCAATCTCGCGTTGGTGAAGAGGCCGTCCGCCGACGCCTCCCCCGTCATCGTGAACGGGCCGAGACTGAAGAGGGGCGCCTTCGTGCGCAGGGCCAGCGTCTGGGCTGGCGGCGCGCTCGGCTCCCATCTGCGGTGGTCCATCGGCGCCGCCTTGAGCATCGCGGAGCATCCCGCCAGTGAGGTCGCCGATCCACTCACGTCACCATCAGCTCTGCCTCGCAGTGACCGCGGAGCCATCGTCGAGCACCGGCGCTGCGAGGCTCCCGCCGTCGTCCCTGAGCGCGCGCGAGGCCGGGCGCGGCGCCACGTCAGCGGGACCTGTGCGCGACCTTCGTTCGGAAGTGCGCCGCCCCCATCATTTGTAGGTCGACCTGCAGTCGCGAATCGCACCGGCGACTCCAAGAAATATGCGGACATGGATGACGGCCTGCTCGTCGTAAGTCGTCACGCGTCGGTCTTCGGTGTCGTTCTCGCTGTGGGGGAGCGCAGTGGACAGGCGCGCGGCCAGCCGCCTCCAGCGCCTCGCGCCCGGCCGGCCGGGCGAACGAGCCGCCTCAGCCAGGCCCCCCCTCCAACGTCGCGACCGCCACAACGCCGTCGAAGCTCGCGCGACGCGGCTGGAATCGCCAAAGGGGTTGTCGTTTCAGCGCGACGACCATGCGACGAAGTCACCTCTTCGCCCAGCATCGCCAGCAGGCAGCTGGCGCCCACCGTCGGACGCGCGCGTTGGCGGCGTGGGGCCGCGGCGCGCCATTGCCCTGCCGCGAGGGAGCGCGCGCGCGGGCGCGGTCCAGGCCCAGAAACACGGGGCGAGCTGGCGGGCAACGGACCGCGCCCCCTCGTGCAGGACGAGCTTGAGCAACCACGGTAACGGACGACGTTCGCAAAGAGGCTGTGCTGCGCCAAACTCGCCAGTCAATCCAATCGTTCACGTGCTCGCACAAAGACATATCTCTCTCTTTTTTTTGTTATCTCTATCTCTCTCTCCACACATATATGTGTATATTTATGAATATTGATATGTATATATGTTTGTGCGTGCGTGTGGTGAGATGTGTTGTGAAACCTTGTTGGTGCAGTCTAGAGTATGCAATTCGCTTTGACTGTCTTGAAGCTGCCCTCTCCACTGCTCGTGCAAACATCCCACCCACCCACCCGCAACTTGGTCGCGAGAGCTCTTAAGACCGAGACGGTAGGTACCAGATGACACTTGGCAACGACGCCGACGCCGACGACGACAGCGACAACGACGACGATGACGACGCCGACGACGACGACTACGACGCGACGACACCGACGACGACTCGGACGACTTCGACGACGACGACGACGACAACGACGACGACGACGATGACACCGACGACGACGACGACGACGACACCGACTACGACGACGCCGAAAACGACGCCGACTACGACGACGCCGACAACGACGACGACGACGGCGACGACGACGCCGACGACGACGCAGTCGACCCTTCTCCCCCTCCCACTCGTGACAGCCGCGGGGCGGCCGGCTCCCCGAAGGCCGCACCGCCCGCCAGGAAGGCGCTCCGCAGCGCGTCGCTGGCCGGCGGGCGTGACCTCGGCGGCACCTGCGCGGCGCCGCGCGACCCCCGCGCGAGGCCGGCCAAAAGAGGAGGGACGAAGAGGAAGGAAGGCGGGCGGAAGATGATCGAGGAGGAGGAGGAGGAGGAGGGGGAGGAGGAGGATCGAGCAGGAAGGGGGGAGGGGGGAGGATAAGTAGGAAGAGGAGGAGGAGGATGAGGAAGAGCGCACGTAGCTTGACAGGCTCGTGGCGGCGATTCGGCAAAGCTCAACCGCGCACGGCTACGACGGCAGCCGATCGGATCCCACAGTGCATGTGGGCGTGGCGGGACGAGGCCGCCGCGCCAGGTCAAAAGCTCAGCACGACTAGTGTGTGACATTTTGCACGCGGGTATTCAGATTCTGTGTCAGGAACATAGAAGGGGCCCAGGGGCACACACACATATATATATATACATACATCTATATATATATATATATATATACATACATACATACATACATACATACATACATACATACATACATACATACATACGTGCATACATACATTTGTATATATATATATACACAAACCACACACAACCCCCACGACTCCCTATATTTTCCGATATGTTTTGGGTTTTCGTTTTCGCCCCCACTTCCCCTATGTTCCCATCTTTTCCGGGTAAATCGACGATGAGTTGTGTCTGTGTTTTTCCCCCTGGTGAAGCAGCTGCAGAAGCCCCAGAAGAGCGAAGGGGTAGGCAGGGTGACTGTCGTGGTGGACGGCCACGAAATGGAGGAAAAATGGGCAGACAAAGTAGTTGAACGGGGCCCAGAGACACACACACACATATAAATACGCAAGGTAATTGAAGGGTGCGACAGGGAATAATTATTCACAAGGAAAAAAACGGACGGCCTCCCAAATGTTGCAGCATCAAGGTCGTAGGTTTTGGACACGCCATCCACGCCCCGGTTGCCAGACATGCTTGCGCCGTGAGGCACTCACGACAAGCGGTTTTTTGCACTCTTCAGCCTCCAGGGGCCCTTGCCAGGGCCCTGGGCCGTCAGAGCGCGTCCCGGGATGGAAAGTTGGCCCTCGGGAGATCCGTAAAAATCGAGGACATCGCATGTCCAGAGGGTTGTTGGGGGGATGAGTTTGTTTGTCCGCCAGAACTCGGCTAATAATGTCAGCTGTCTGCTGAGCGCGTCGCGCACCCGGGCGGGCCAACGACGGCACGCGCCATCAAAGGAGCGCGTGCCCCGAACGCCGCGCGACAGAAAGCGATCGACCGCGGCTGCACGAACAAAAAGGCACGAAAGAGTAGAAGGGGCAGGCGCGAAAAAAAAGGGAAAGAAGAGATATAATGGAAGAGCTCCGACGCGCAATGCGCCGCAATTGGAAGACAACCCGTCGGCGCCAAGCCGGCGACGCTGCCACGGGGGATCGGATCGGCTGGCTCGCGGCACGCAACAAAAAGGGGGGGACAAAAACATGCACAGTGGGCCACGAACGGGGGCCGAAATGTGTAACGGGCTGTTCCTGGGCGGCGAAGTGGCCAAAGTGCCGCGATCCCGCGACCGCGGAATGGAGGCGCAGGCCGGGCCCCGCGCGCCAGGGGGGATAGCCCGCGCCGTGCAAATTTCGCGCGCGTCAGCGCATGACAAGAAAATGCGACAACAAGCGCGCGAAGGGCTACCTGGGCGGCGATCTGGGCCGCGCGGCGCGCCCCCGCAGCCGCGGAGTGGAGGCGCGGGGAGGGCCCGCGCACCGGGGGGGGGGGCAGCCCATGGAACGCAAGCGCAGCTGTTTCAAATGAGAGGCAGGCGCGCCAGCGACGACGACGGAAAAGGGGGCGCGACGGGACGGCGACGCCGCACAGGGGCGAGCGAGGACGAAGCGACTGACGCGACGATGGGGGGTGAGGAGGGAGGAGGGCTGCGCGGCTAACCCTGGATAGCCCTGCGCCCCTGACATTAAGCCCCTGGGGATAATAAAGTTCGGGCGCCAGAGGGGGATCATGATCGTTATGCCAGAAATCGCAGCATCGTGATGCAGGTGATGAAGACGATGCTGATGACGATGATGGCGATGTTCCTCGACGCCTCTCTAGATCCTCGTCATGATGGTGCTTGGCGCCTCGAGAACTGGCGGCGCTCGCCTCGGGTCTCGCGCGTGGCGCGCGCGACCCGCCTCGTCGCCCAGAGCCCGCAGGAACGGCAATCCACGCGGGACATCTCGTTGCTGCTCGCGGGGCGGTCCTCGCCAGGGCCGATGGCGCCGAGCTTTCGGGGGATCCTCGCGGCGGCCTGCTCGGCGTTCTCGGGCGGCTGTTTGCGGTGCGGGCGTCGCGGCGCTCGACGGCCATGCCCGCCCCCTCCTCGTGCGCCTCGAAGTAGGCGTGGTGCGCGGGGGCTTCGGAGTGCGCCGCGATCAGCAAGTGCTCAGCCTTCTCGGCTATTTCGGCCCAGCGCCTCTGCTCCTGCCGCTGCTTGGCGGCGGGCTCGCCCTCGCCCTGGCGCTCGAGCCCGGGCGACAGCCGCCGTGGGCTCGACCGTCGCAACGGCCTCGGGGGCGCCCGCGCGCTCCTCGGTCTCGCCGAGCTGCGCGTGCACCGCGCCCAGCTCGAGGGCGTCGCCATTCCTGATCTGCTCGCAGTTCATGATCGCGCGCTGCTGGGCGAGTTCGGCGCGCCCCGGCACCCCGCGGCGCCGGCCGAGCGTTGGCGGCATGGGGAACTTGTAGTCCTGATCAACCGAGAGCTGCGAGGCCCGGGGGGGCATGGGCATTCGTTCGACTACCTATCAGACCGCCCCAACCCAACCAGAAGACCCGAAATTGATTTGAATTTCGGGTTGGGGGGGGCACGGGCTCCACGCGTTTTTGCAATGTTTCCCGACCCCCCCCCCCGCTGGACATGGAGAGCAAATTGGAGCCTTCGGGTTGGGTTGGGGTGGTTTGGGGGGCGGCGATCGCGAGCTTCCGCATGCGCCCGCCTCCCGGCCCCGAACGTCCACGCCGACTTCCGCCTTCGCTTCCGCCGGCTTCCACCAACTCCCGCCTCCGCCCCCGCAATTGTTCATTGTTTCCGCCCGCTTCAGCTGTCCTCTCTCTCTCTCTCTCTCTCTCTCTCTCTCTCTATATATATATATATATATATATGTATATATCTTTATTTGTTTGCTCTCTCTCTCTCTATTTCCCCCCCCCCTCTCTCTCTCTCTCTTCTCTCTCTCTCTCTCTCTCTCTTCTCTCTCTCTCTCTCTCTCTCTCTCTCTCTCTCTTTTTTGTTTTCTCTCTCTCTCTCTCTTCTCTCTCTCTCTCTCTCTCTCTTCTCTCTCTCTCTCTCTCTCTCTCTCTCTCTCTCTCTCTCTCTCTCTCTCTCTCTCTCTCTCTCTCTCCTCTGTCCTCCTCGGGCGCGGGGCTAGGCGGAATCTGGCGGGTGCCTGCGAGCCCCCGAGCCTCGGCGCTCCCGATCTAGATGAACAACGCGGCCCCCGCCTCGTGCACTCGGAGACGGTCGGTGTCCTCGATGCGCAGGGCTCGCCAGACACCCTGGGCCCCGCCGCGCCTGCCCTCGCGGGCCTTCTCCTCGGCGACGCGGGCCGCCTTGCCGTGCCGAGGGGTGCCCTCGCACACCTTGAAGCCCGGCGTGCCCTTCGCCTTCGCCTTCCCCTTGGCCTCGTGCTCCGCGTGCACCTTGGCCTCGAGCGCCCGGGAGAAGCTCGCCTTGGCCTTCGAGGCCCTGTCTGGGAGCTTCGCCCCCGCCGCGGCTCGGCCCAGATGCTCGAGCGAGGCCTCGCCGCCGGTCCCGGCATTCGCGCGCCGCGGCGTGCCCGGGAACTGGCCCGAGAACTTGGCCGCCCACCTGCTCTTGCGTTTAGTTGCGGGGGCCACCTGGGATCGGTTCTCGAGGGCGCGCGGGGATTGTATCTCCTTGATCCTATCCTCGGGCGGCCTGAGCGCCCCTCTGCTCGTCGGCGAGCTCGAGGTCCAGGTCTCGGAGCTCCGGGAGGCAAGGGTTCTCGCCCTCCTCGCAATCCTTCGGCAAGTCCTCGACGCGGAAACACTCGCCGTCGCGGGCGCCCCAGTCGGGAACTGGCGCAACGTTTTCGGGCCAGCGCTGGGCGCCCGCTGGGAGCTCGCTCTCCAGCATCGGCTCGATGCCGCGGCCTGGCTGGGCGGAGTTGCTCCGGGGCCCCAGGCCCGCGACGGGCTCGCGCTCGCCCTGGGCGAGCATCTGGTTCGCGCGCGGCCCGTGGAGCGACGCCGCCACCGCGCGCGCGTTGCGGAAGCGGGCGCGAGCCTCGGGGGCGAAGGAAAGGCGCTCGCATGGCCCCCAGTGCGTCGGGCACTTGCACTTCCTCTCGGTCTCGGCCTTCGCCATCTGGATCCAGTCTTACGCCATGGCCCAGTGCATCTCTGCCTTGACCTCTCGGATCGCGGCCTTGAGATGGCTGCGCTCGTGGGCGTTGCCCCGGCGAGAAGCTCGCGGCGTCGGGGGCCGCGGGCGCGCGCGCTGCATTCCCGAGCCGCGCTCGGAGCGTGGCGGCCTGGGCCCACTGGCTAGACAGGCAGTCGGCGAACGCGAGGCTCTGGCCGTGCTGCTCCTGGGTGAAGTCGATGGCCCAGCTCGCGATGAGCTCGCCCGCCCAGGCCCTCGGGCGCCACCGCGCGCCGATGGCCTCGACGAGCCTCGGGCGGTCCTCCTCGGAGAACTCGAGCAGGGCGTTGCGCCAGCCCTTGACGAATGCGCCTGGGGGATCGCCTGCTCGGAAGCGCTCCGTTGTCCGTCGCCTCGCTTGCGGGCGGCCTCGCGCCTCTAGGTCCCCCCCATCGAGGTTCACGTCGCTCACTCAGTAGTGCTCGGCGCAAGGGGCGAGGGGCGCGCTGCGCTTCTTGCTTTTGGGGCTCAGGACAGGCACGCGTCTGGCCAGCAGGCGCCGGCCCCCCTCCTCCGCCCCAGGGGCGCGGAGGGCCGCGGCGGCCAGAAGAGGCTGGACAGGTCCTCCACGAGGGGCGCGCCGCCGGGTTTGTACATCCGCCATTCCAGCGTTCCCTCCTGCTCCGTAACGAACAGGGCCGAGTCCACGGCATCTAGGAAGTGGAGGGCGGTTGAGAGGGGAACGGGGCGGGGATCGCCGCCCTGCCCGCAACTGCTCGAAGACCTGGCGCCCTCATCCTTTCCGGGTGCGCCGCGCGACCAGAAGGCAACGCTGTCTCGAGCAGGCGCCACCGCGGCGGCGGGCGCGCCGTACCTCCGCGGCGACCGTGCAGCTTTCCAGCCGAAGGGCCTCCTCCGCGCGCTGGAACCCGGGCCCCGCGGGCCCGCCCATCGCGACCAGCGCCGCCCCGCGCTCGATTGCGAAGCGCGCCGCATATAGGCCTTCCAGCCGCCTGGGGTCGGGGCCCAAGGGGGCCGCGACCGATTTCTCCTCTGTGCCGCTCCAGTCCCTGGCCCCGAAGCGCACCCGGAACTGGGCGGCGCGGCTGCCCCAGCTAGGGTGGCTGTCTTTGGGCCCGCGGGGGGGAAGGTGACATCCACCTTGGCCGCCATCTCTCCTGCCGCCCCCCCGCGAAGGGCGAGCGTGGCCCGCTATCCCGAGAGGCGCACTGCCGCGAGCGGTTGGGCGCGGGGGCGCCCCGCCCTCTGCCTCTCCATCAGCTGGCGGGCCATCCGCCAATCCCAAATATCAAAATGAAAACGCAAGGATTGCGATGTCAGGTGCGTTTGGATGTTTGGGCCCCTTAGATGGAACGTGAAGGAGCATATGCATTTATGTTTGCATGTGTATGCATGCATGTGTGTATGTATGTATGCATGTATGTATGTATGTAGGTATGTATGTACGTACGTACGTACGTACGTACGTATACCTGTATGTCTGTATGTCTATATATATGTATGTCTGTATGCCTGTATGTATGTATAGTTATGTTTGTTTGTAAGCGTGTATATATGTATATATATATATATATATATGTAGCGTAGTGTAGTTTAGTTTAGTGTAGTGTAGCGTAGTGTAATGTAAGGCGTGTGTGAATGTATGTATGTTTGTATGTATGTATGTATGCTTATATATGTACCGAGAAAGAAATTCAAAGATGCGGTACTCACAGCTGCATAAGGTTCGGTCGTCAAGATAATTTCTTTCGGCGATAACCCAGGTTATCCGGGAGGGGGAGGGGAAGGGGCCGGCCGATTGCCTAACCTTTGCCTCTGGGCAGCCCTATGTGTGCCCGCGCGCACCAATAGTGCGCACGTCCTTCGGACCTGCGCAACTGGCAAGGTCAGGTTATCCCGGGGGGGGGGGGGCCACAACCTGGGTTACAGTCATCGTGCCAGCAAGCGGAACACATATTAAGGAACGACAGAGCTTTTCTGGCCACGGCGGGCCTAGGCAACAAAAAAGGTTCCACGACACAAATCCAAGGAGCTGCCCGAGCCCCAGAGCCACTGCGAAGACCGAAGCGGTCCGTTCCGGGGTGGCCCTTTCCTCGGGGTGGTCGCTCCCTGGGACGAAGGATATACTTCTACCATGTGCTTCTGTGGGAGGCGCCCGTCCGACCCGAGCATACAGTACAAACACCCTGTAGTATACCGTCTCCCGAGCGGCACTGTTACAAAGCCCCTGCCGCCGAGCATTTGCTATTAGATTTCTCGGCGCGCGCGCCCGTCGCCCCTTGGGGGCGACGCGCACCTAGTGCTAGTACGGTCGGACCTGGGACAGACGAACACCCTTCAAGAACATGAGATCCTCTTCCGGCCCATGCCCTTGACCCATGGGTGGGCGGCCTGCAGCAACTGCTCCACGAGCTGCCGCGCCTCCGGGCGCAGCGACCTCCAGTTCTCCGCGCGGCTGTTGAACTGGCCCAGGGCCGCGAGCCGGATCACCTCGCAGAGGGCCAAGGGGGAGGGAGAGTCGCGTGTCGCCACGGCGGCCCCGGCGCCACGCTGTGCCCTGCGAGTGGATGGCGCGCCGCTGCGCCCCACGGGGCGGGACCCTGGGAAAAGGCTCGGGGCGCGGACGCCTCGGACCCGGGAAGTGTGAGCAGCGTGTCGCGCCGACTCGCGGTGGGTCAGAACCGGCGGAACGACACGCCATTCGGCGGCGCGCACATGGGGGCAGGGGGTGGGGGGGGAAAGCTTCTTAGAAGGAGGCTGCTTCTTAGAAGCAGCCAGCCTTACATCTGCAGGCCAGGCTCGCACCTTCTAAGAAGCAAGGGTGCTTCTGAGAAGCCTTCCCCCCTCCCCCTATAACCCCACCTGCGCGTGGCTGAGCTCTCCAGAAGCTCCCGGCCGTAGTCATGGTTTCGGAGCGCCGGCCTGGCTTGCAGAGTACGGCGCCCCCGCTCTGCCAGTTTGTTCCCTCATTCACCGTCCCCCATGAACTGACGATCGCTTCGCTCCCTGGAGAGGCGGGAGCGGAGTGGGGGAGAGGAGAACAGAAAATAGGGATAAACACGAACACGGAGTGCCCGAGGCGCACACTTCCCCCTTCTCCTCCACCTCCTCCTCCTCCTCCTCCTCCTCCTCCAGCGCATCCGCGGCGCCTCCGCATCTATCGCGTCCTGGGTCGGCTGCCGCAGAGCGAGGTTGAAGGGGTTGTGCCTGGCGCACGCGCGGACGGGGCCTCCGTGCGGGCACGGGGTCACGTCAGAAGCGCGGGAGCGACCTGACGCTCAAGAGGGCAAGAACAAAGAAGTCCCCCCAAACATGAGAATCAATGATTCGGGCATCTTGTGGCCGTCCTGGGATGCGAGAGGACGGTGAACGGGGGAGGAAGAGAGAAGGGAGTGCGAGGGGGGGGTGAGGGGTGGCCATCGCTTGGACGTCCATTCCCCATGCACTTTTCGGTTTCGTGCGTGTTCTTTATTTTCCGCAAGTTGGTCCAGGATGCCCCTCGATGGTCCTCGCCGAAAAACATGCACACGCCTGGGGGAGGGGGAAGCGAATAGGAGCACAGCACCTAATACAGTCCCGCATGGAGCACCGACGAGGGCTCAGCGGGTTGGCGCTTGGGCGACAACATGTAAGGAGAGATGTGGGCAATAGGCCGGTCACTCATGGGTCGAGGTTGGTGTCGCACGTGGTCGCGCGAACGGGCACGCAGGAGTCGGAGTCACTGACACGGGAGCCACTCGAAGAAATGACCAATGAGAGAGACATTGGAGCCCGAGTCGGAGCCATGGGAGCCGAAGTTGGAGAGACTACCTTTGAAACTACAGTCGGAGAAGACCATCAAAGCTAGAGTCGAAGAGGCGAGAGCTGAAGCCAGAAACGTGGCAGCCAGCATCAGAGACCAGAGTAGACGACACGGGAGCTGGAGCTGGAGCTGGACACAAAAGAACCAGGGTCGGGGCCACGGGCTCTCGCCTTATCACCGCGCACATTCGTCTTACAACAGTTTCGCTGATGGAAAGGCGAGTGGTTTTCACAACATGTGGTTCTCGCCTCAGCGCCGCGCACAATCCTCTTAAAAGTATGCAGCTGTTTCGCGGATGGAAGGCGGTTCCTTTTCAACCAGGGGCTCTCGCCTCAGCCCCGCGTGCATTCCTCTTACAAGTTTGTAGAAGGATGGAGGGCTGCTCCTTTTCAACATGAGGCTCTTGCCTGAGCGCCGCGTCTCCATACAAGTTTGCACCAGTTGAATTCCGAAGTCCCAGGAATTATGTCCTGGCCGAATTCCCAGACATGGTGTTCGGGCGCGGACTTGGATTGTCAGGGCGCGACAGTCACGTTGTCTCGTGGCGTTGAGGTCCCAGGGACGGTGTTCTGGCACGGTTTCGGATGGTCAGGGCGCAACGATCACGTTGATTCATAGCGTTGAAGGCCCCAAAACTGTGTCCTGGCACGACTGGAAATTCTACGACGGTTGTCTTCGAATGGGCCACGTCCCGCACCGAATATCATTCTCGATGGGGCCGTCCCATGGTACAACCATGGAGAGGGAGCTTGGAGGGGTGGGTGGGTACTGCAACATCGCTGATGCGTCTTGAGCTTGCACTGCTCCTCCTCCTCCTCCTCCTCCTCCTCCTCCTCCTCCCCCTCCTCCCCTCGCCCTCCTGCCCCTCCCACCCCTGCCTCCTACTTGAGGAGGCGGAGGCGGGGAAGGAGGAGGAGGAGGAGGAGGAGGAGGCGGAGGAGGAGGAGGCGGAGGAGGAGGCGGAGGAGGCGGAGGAGAAGGAGGAGACGGAGGAGGAGGAGGAGTCGACGGGCGGCGGCGGCGGCGGGCCCGCGGCGGAGGCAGAAAGGGGCTGAGCCCATGGGGAGCGGCGGAGCAGGGCTCGCTGCCCAACGAGCAGCAAGTACGCCACCACCTCGGGCCGCTCTTCGGGGAGTGCTCCTCCTCCTCCTCCTCCTCCTCCTCCTCCTCCTCCTCCTCCTCCTCCTCCTCCTCCTCTTTCTCGAGCTATAAGCGATTGGTTCAAGCAGCCTCTCCTAAGGATAAAAAATCAGTGCAGAGGGAGGGACGACGACACAGCCAAGGCCCCCACCTCATTGCCCCTGTTGGGCACATGACCATCACAATACGGGTCCTCCTCCTCCTCCTCCTCCTCCTCCTCCTCCTCGCGGGTCGGATCCCAGGGGGGACAGGGAGAGACTGGCTTAGGGGGGAGGACATCGCACTGGCACCGGCGATGCGTCGCCAATCGTCACCAGATCGGCGACGCGCCCCCGATGACGAAAGCGCACGTTCCTGGGCGGGACGGGCTCTCGGGCTCCGATCGGCGATGACTGAGCGATTATGCAGTGCGGGCGCGGCCGCAAGAAACCCTCGCAAGAAACCCAACCCTGAAAACCTGCGCGCGAGGTGCACCCCAGGGGAAACCTGAACGTAGGAGCTTCTTCAACGGCTGCGGGAAGTCACCGCGCAGCGCGCGGAGCGAAGACACCCAGGATACCCTGACGAAAAGCATATGGTTTCTTGATGCGCGCCCCCACTGTAAGCGTTTTCCCGTTCCGAGTTTCGCAATTTGGCCGTAGAGCGGGGGAGGGGTGGGGGGCTGGGTCTGGGCCAGTCCTTCTTGGCAATCTGTTGTACCAGTCGCGCAGGCAGACTGGGGGAGAGGGGTCCTGTCCAGTCGTCAAAAGCAGCTACCAAAAGCAGCCGGAGTCTGGTCTATGGGGGGAACAATGGGCCAGGGGCCCGCGCCCATCGGCGAAACAATACATACAACAAAACGGCTACGTGTTTTTTACCAGCCATCCTGTGGTGTTGGGTCCTCGTTTTGAAGAGACGGTGCCCCGCGTTATCATCCTTCTTTCCTCCTCCTCCTCCTCCTCCTCCTCCTTCTCCTCCTCCTCTCTCCTCCCCCTCCTTGCTTTTGCTCTCCGCATGCCTCTGTTTCGGCACACCCCTCACACGCTTCGTGGCCCCATAGGGAGCTCCATCGAAGACCCCAGTGCCACCGCCCGCATGGCGCCGCCGCCCCATTTTGGCACACCCCTCACACGTTTCGTTGACCCATAGGGAGCTCTACGTAACGTCCCAGTGGCACCGCCCGCATGGCGCCGCCGCCCCATGTTGGCGCACCCCTCACACGCTTCGTGGCTCCATACGGAGCTCCATCGAAGGCCCCAGTGCCACCGCCCGCATGGCGCCGCCGCCCCATGTTGGCGCACCCCTCACACGTTCCGTTGCCCCATAGGGAGCTCTACGTAACGTCACAGTGGCACCGCCCGCATGGCGCCGCCGCCCCCTGCTGGCACACCCCTCACACGTTTCGTGGCCCCATAGGGAGCTCCATCGAAGGCCCCAGTGCCACCGCCCGCATGGCACCGCCGCCCCATGTTGGCGCACCCCTCACACGTTTCGTTGCCCCATAGGGAGCTCTACGTAACGTCACAGTGGCACCGCCCGCATGGCGCCGCCGCCCCCTGCTGGCACACCCCTCACACGCTTCGGGCCCATCGGGAGCTCCATCGACGGCCCCAGTGCCACCGCCCGCATGCGCCGCCGCCCCCATGTTGGCGCACCCCTCACACGTTTTCGTTGCCCATGGGCTCTACGTAACGTCCCATTGGCACCGCCCGCATGGCGCCGCCGCCCCCTGCTGGCACACCCCTCACACGCTTCGTGGCCCCATCGGGAGTTCCATCGAAGGCCCCAGTGCCACCGCCCGCATGGCGCCGCCGCCCCATGTTGGCGCACCCCTCGCACGTTTCGTCGCCCCATAGGGAGCTCTACGTAACGTCACAGTGGCACCGCCCGCATGGCGCCGCCGCCCCCAGCTGGCACACCCCTCACACGTTTCGTGGCCCCATAGGGAGCTCCATCGAAGGCCCCAGTGCCACCGCCCGCATGGCGCCGCCGCCCCATGTTGGCGCGGCCCCTCGCACGTTTTCGTTGCCCCATTAGGGAGTCTCGTTCCGCAAGTTCCCAGTGGCACGCCCGCATGGCGCCGCCGCCCCTGCTGACACCCCTCACACGTTTCGTGGCCCCATAGGGAGCTCCATCGAAGGCCCCAGTGCCACCGCCCGCATGGCGCCGCCGCCCCATGTTGGCGCACCCCTCACACGTTTCGTTGCCCCATCGGGAGCTCTACGTAACGTCCCATTGGCACCGCCCGCATGGCGCCGCCGCCCCCTGCTGGCGCACCCCTCACACGCTTCGTGGCCCCATAGGGAGCCCAATCGAAGGCCCCAGTGCCACCGCCCGCATGGCGCCGCCGCCCTTGTTGGCGCACCATCACACGCTTCGTTGCCATAGGGGAGCTCGTCGTAAGTTCCAGTGAGCACCGCCCGCATGGCGCGCCGCCCCTGCTGGCACAACCTCCACACGCTTCGTGGGGCCCCATGGAGCTCCATCGAAGGCCCAGTGTCCCCGCCCGCATGGCGCCGCCGCCCATGTTGGGCGCACCCTTCACACGCTTCGTTGCCCCATAGGGAGCTTACGTAGTGTCCCAGTGGCACGCCGATGGCGCCGCGCTCCATTCTGGCACACCCCTCACACGCTTCGTTGCCCCATAGGGAGCTCCACCGAAGGCCCCAGTGGCTGCGCCCGCATGCGGTTCCACCCCCCATTCTGGCACACCCCTCACACGTTTCGTGGCCCCATAGGGAGCTCCACCGAATCAGGGCCCAGTGGCCACCGCCGCATGGCGCCGCCCCACTCGTTGCCGCCCCATGTTGCGCACCCCTTCACGCGTTTGTTGCCCCGTGTAGGGAATCTACGTAACGTCCCAGTGGCACCGCCCGCATTGGTGCCGCCGCCCCCTTCTGGCGCACCCCCTCACGCTGTCGTGGCCCCATAGGGAGCTCCATCGAAGGCCCCAGTGCCACCGCCGCATGGCGCCGCCGCCCCATGTATGGCACACCCCTCACGCGCTCGTTGCCCATAGGGAGCAAGCTACGTAACGTCCCCAGTGGCACCGCCGAATGCGCCGCCGCCCCCTGCTGGCACACCCCTCACACGCTTCGTGGCCCCATAGGGAGCTCCATCGAAGGCCCCAGTGCCACCGCCTGCATGGCGCCGCCGCCCCATGTTGGCGCACCCCTCACACGTTTCGTTGTCCCATAGGGAGCTCTGGGAGCTCTACGTAACGTCCCAGTGGCATCGCCCGCATGGCGCCGCCGCCCCCTGCTGGCACACCCCTCACACGTTTCGTGGCCCCATAGGGAGCTCCACCGAAGGCCCCAGTGACACCGCCCGCATGGCGCCGCCACCCCATGTTGGCGCACCCCTCACACGTTTCGTTGCCCCATAGGGAGCTCTACGTAACGTCCCAGTGGCGCCGCCCGCATGGCGCCGCCGCCCCCGGCTGGCGCACCCCTCACACGTTTCGTGGCCCCATAGGGAGCTCATTCGGAAGGCACCCATGCCACCGCCCCCACCGCCGCATGGCGCCGCCGCCCATGTTGGCGCACCCCACCACACTCCATGCCACCGCCCGCATGGCGCCGCCGCCCCATGTTGGCGCACCCCTCACGCGTTTCGTTGCCCCGTAGGGAACTCTACGTAACGTCCCAGTGGCACCGCCCGATGCGTGCGCCCCTGCTGGACACCCTCACACGTTTCTGGCCCCTAGGGAGCTCCATCGGAAGGCCCCAGTGGCCACCGCCCGCATGGCGCGCCGCCCATGTGGGCGCACCCTCACACGTTTCGTTGCCTCATTAGGAGCTCTACGTATACGTCCCTCAGTGGCACCGCCCGAGTGGCACCCGCCCGCCTGCTGGCACACCCCTCACACGTTTTCGTGGCCCCCCATGGGAGCTCCATCGAAGGCCCAGTGCCACCGCCCGCCATGGCGCCGCCGCCCTATGTTGGCGCACACCCCTCAGACTTTTTCGTTGCCCATAGGGAGCTCTACGTAAACGTCCCAGTTGGCACCGCCGCATGGCGCCGCCGTCCCCCTGCTTGGCACACCCCTCAACCACGTTTCGGGGCCCCATCGGGAGCTTCATCGAAGGCCCCAATTGCACCGCCCGCTTGGCGCCGGCCTCCCCATGTACCCTTCACCCCCTCACAAGTTTCGTTGCCCCATAGGGAGCTCTACGTAACGTCCCAGTGGCACCGCCCGCATGGCGCCGCCGCCCCCTGCTGGCGCACCCCTCACACGTTTCGTGGCCCCATAGGGAGCTCCATCGAAGGCCCCAGTGCCACCGCCCGCATGGCGCCGCCGCCCCATGTGGGCGCACCCCTCACACGTTTCGTTGCCCCATAGGGAGCCCTACGTAACGTCCCAGTGGCACCGCCCGCATGGCGCCGCCGCCCCCTGCTGGCACACCCCTCACACGCTTCGTGGCCCCATAGGGAGCTCCATCGAAGGCCCCAGTGCCACCGCCGCATGGGCGCCGCCGCCCCATGTTGGCGCACCCCTCACACGCTTCGTTGCCCCATAGGGAGCTCTACGTAACGTCCCAGTGGCACCGCCCGCATGGCGCCGTCGCCCCCTGCTGGCACACCCCTCACACGTTTCGTGGCCCCATAGGGGGCTCCATCGAAGGCCCCAGTGCCACCGCCCGCATGGCGCCGCCGCCCCATGTTGGCGCACCCCTCACACGTCTCGTTGCCCCATAGGGAGCTCTACGTAACGTCCCAGTGGCACCGCCCGCATGGCGCCGCCGCCCCCTGCTGGCACACCCCTCACACGTTTCGTGGCCCCATAGTGAGCTCCATCGAGGCCCCAGTGGCACCGCCCGCATGGCGCCGACGCCCCCTGTTGGCGCACCCCTCACACGTTTCGTTGCCCCATAGGGAGCTCTACGTAAGGTCCCAGTGGCACCGCCCGCATGGCGCCGCCGCCCCCTGCTGGCACAACCCTCACACGCTTCGTGGCCCCATAGGGAGCTCCACCTAAGATCCCAGTGGCGCAGTTCGCATGGCGCCGCCGCCCTATGTTGGCACACCCCTCACACGGATCGGCCCCCACACAGTTCGTGGCCCCATAGGGAGCGCGGGCAAAGATGGGATTCACAATTGCGGTATTCACAATTGCATGTGGTTGGGTCCTTCGCCAGGATAGCTGTTTCCTCCGAACCTCCATCCCCCGCGTCTTCCCTGTTTCGGACGCACATCGCCAACGATCCGTGCGGCCAGCGCGGGCCCTCCCGAGAACAGACCCGGCAGATCGCGCCCTGGACACGCAGAGGGGAGGCCTGGTGGCCTGCCAGCGACTCAGCCGCCCCCGCAGCTCGCCCACGCGATGGTATTTGGTCCAGCGGCGAGCGAAAAAGGGATCGGATCGGATCGGCCGCCCTCGGAAGTGCCCATCACGCGAGCAGCTGCCCGGGGTGCGCGGCACTGATGGGCAGCTCACGGGGGTGGGGAGCGACGAGGAGGACGACTTCTCAAAAGCCGGCGGAGGTCTCTCAGAGGCCCTTCGGCCTTCTGAAAAGTTCCCTGCGCCTTCGGGGGAGGCTTAGGGAACTTCTCAGAAGGGTGGAGGCCTTCCGAGCCATCTGAGAAGGCCCCCCCTTCTCATTTCCCCCCCCCGGGCGCGCCTTCGAAGGGTGCAAGGCATGCGGGGAGCACGCCAGACGCCCGTCGGATGCCGCGCACACCTTTGCTACGACTGTCGAGACTTCTGGCTGGTGGGCCTCCAGATGCTTCCGGAGGCCTCCGAGGTCCTGAGGGGGTTAGGAGCCAGGGTGGAACGGCAGCTTGCCATCGCGTCCCCTCTCGGTAACCCTCAGGCCAGGGTGCTCCAAGGCGCCCGAAGACGGTTCCAAGACGACCCAAGAGGGCCCCAAAAGGCCCCAAGAGCGCTCCAAGAGGCCTCCCGAGAGAGCCCCAAGAGGCCCAAATCGTCAATTTCACAACGGTTTTGTTACAGGCGCAGCCCGTAATTTGATTTTCGGGAAGTAAACAGAACTGACTGACAGAACTCAACTGAATCACCAAAGCAGGGGGTGAGGATATTTCGCGGGCAGTTTTAAGTCAAGGGGTTGAGGGCATCTCGCTGGCAGATGTAGGCCAGGGGATGAGGATATTTCGCCGGCAGTTTTGAGCGAGGGGTGTGGGCATTTTTCGCTGACAGTTTTAGGCCAGGGGGTGATGATATTTCGCTGCAATTTAAAGCGAGGGGTGTGTTATATCAGGGGATTGAGGATATTTCGCTGGCAGTTTTAGACCACGGGGTGAGGATATCTAGTCTAGGGCCACGGGCGGTGAGGATATGATATGTCGCTGGCAGTTTGAGGCCAGGGGGGTGAACTACTTCGCTGGCGTGTGTGGGGTGTCTGTCTGGTCCCGTCGACGGGACGCCTTCTCTGTGTATCTTTCCCCGTCGGGGGTGAGAGGGCACCCTCCCGTCTTCGGGGGGATGAGTCCGGGGATTGAGGGAAATCGACCCACGTCGTAGTCACGTCAAAGGGAAGCCCCTTCCCGTTGTCCATTCCCCGGCGGAGGGGGGGGGTCCCGGGGGGGGGGCAGGATTCGCATCCCCGATTTGGGTCTCTTACACACGGGCCCTCTGTAGATGCGCTGGAGAAGGGGGGGGGGGTCGCCACGACGGATCCGCAAGAGCGCCCCTAGACGGCCCAAGCTCCATAAGACAGCCCAGGAACGCTTATAAGGACGGCCAAGGGGGGCTCCCAGACGGCCAAAGGACGCCGCCAAGACAGATACGTTTACCCCTCGAGCGCCCCCGAAACCATGAAAAGCTGTTTCCCAAAAAGCCCAGAATGCCACTACGCCTCCTGTTCCTCCTCCTCCTCCTCCTCCTCCTCCTCCTCCTCCTCCTCCTCCCCCCCATGCTCCCCCTCCTCCTGCTCCTCCTCTGCCTCCTCCTCCTCCTCCTCCTCCTCCTCCTCCTCCTCCTCCTTCTCTTTCTCCTCCTCCTGCTCCTCCTTCTCCTCCTCATCCTTCCCCTCCGTCCTCCTTCCTCATCCGCCTCCTCCACCCTTCCTCTTCCCCCCCCCACTCCCACTCCTCCGCCTCCTACCCACCCTCCGCTCGTTTTCATCTTCGTCGTCTTCAGGGTCGGCGGCACAGGCCGTAAGGCCTTCGCAATATTTCGCTGGCATGTTTCAGGTTACGGGGATGAGGAAATTCAGCTGACAGGTTTAGGCCAGGGACTTTGAGGATATTTCGCTGGCAGTTTTAAGCGAGGGGTGTGAGGATGTCGCTGGCAGTTTTAGACCAGGGGTGAGGATATTTCGCTGGCAGTTTGAGGCCAGGGGCGGTGAGGATATTTCGCTGGCAGTTTCAAGCGCGGGGTGTGAAGATATTTCGCTAGCAGCTTTCAGTCAGGGGCGTGAGGATATGTCGCTGGCAATTTTAGACCAGGGGGTGAGGATATTTCGCTGGCAGTTGTAAGCGCGGGGTGTGAGGATATTTCGCAGGCAGTTTCGAGCGCGGGGTGTGAAGATATTTCGCTGGCAGCTTTCAGTCAGGGGCGTGAGGATATGTCGCTGGCAACTTTGAACCAGGGGGTGAGGATATTTCGCTGGCAGTTGTAAGCGCGGGGTGTGAGGATATTTCGCTGGCAGTTTCAAGCGATGGGGTGTGAGGATATTTCGATGGCAGTTTCGAGCGAGAGATGTGAGGATATTTCGCTGGCAGTTGTAAGCGCGGGGTGTGAGGATATTTCGCAGGCAGTTTCGAGCGCGGGGTGTGAAGATATTTCGCTGGCAGCTTTCAGTCAGGGGCGTGAGGATATGTCGCTGGCAACTTTGAACCAGGGGGTGAGGATATTTCGCTGGCAGTTGTAAGCGCGGGGTGTGAGGATATTTCGCTGGCAGTTTCACGCGATGGGGTGTGAGGATATTTCGATGGCAGTTTCGAGCGAGAGATGTGAGGATATTTCGCTGGCAGCTTTAGGCCATGAGGCGAGGATATTTCGCTGAGGGGTGTGAGGGATGTTGCTGGCCGTGTGGAGCCAGGGCAGTGAGGATAGTCAGCTGGCAGTTTTCGGCCAGGGGGTGAGGATAGTTCGATCGCAGCTTTAAAGGACGGGTGTGAGGATATTTCGCACGTCGGGGGGGTGCGGAGATTCCGCTGGCAGTTCTAGGCCAGGCAGTTAAGGATATTTCGCTGGCAATTTGAAGTTTGTGGGGGTGAGGATGTTTTGCTGGCAGCTTTAGGCCGGGGCGGCGAGGACATTTCGCTGGCAATTTTAAGCGAGGGGTGTGCGGAGACGTTGCTGGCAGTTTTAAGCGATGGATCTGAGGATCTGTCGCTGGCAATTTTAAGGCCGGGCGATAAGGATATTTCCCAGGCGTAACCAAGCTCCACAATGTGCCACGCACGGGACAACGGGGGAAGATGGGTGAGAGCGAGGACGGAGGACGAGGACGAAGAGGAAGTGGCGAAAGGGGGGGCCCGGGTGTAGGGACTGAGAAGAGTCGTGGTCGGTGCGGGCATCCACGCGCCACGCGATACTGGGCCGGAGCGGGTCTTGCAAGGGGCCCAGGGAGGCACAGTGAAACACACGCGAATCTCAGAATTCCCCATGCCTTGCAATATTTTCTGGATGCTCGTCTTCCCCTCCACTTCCCATCGTGTCCCGTATTTCTTCGGGGCATCGGCGCTTGTTTTTGCTCGTGTGCTTTTGTTCCCCTCCTGAGGCTCTGCATCTCGGCCGCCTTCCTGCTGCACCGGCGCGGTGGCGGGGCGTGCCGCAGGCAGCTGGATAAGGGCCAGGGGCAGAGTCGGCGGCGCGCGCAGGGGGGGCCGTGAGAGGGAACAGGCCTTCCCAGTCCCAGGATGTAGCCACATCGCCTGGCAACGCAGAACTCGGAGGTACCACGGCAACAATCACGGGGTCCACATGTGTCAGTCTCCATGGGCGGAATTCACAACATGGGTATGGATTACTGTGCTGATGCACTGGGGTATGATTTACTGTGCTGTTGCTACCCCCGACCAGAGTGCCCACAGGGCCTCCAGCCTCCTGGAGAAGCTTCCTGAGCCTCCGCTGGCGACGCAGGCCGCTTCTCATAAGGAGCGAGGGCTTCCGATGGGGTCCCGCCGCCTTCCGGGAGAAAGCCTGCCCTCTCTCGGCGCGTCGCCGACAGAAGACGGGAGCCGGGCACTGCCAGTGGGGGGTCACCGCGAAGGGGGTCGCTTCTCCTCCTCCTCATCCTCCTCCCCGATCCTCGACTTCCAGCAGGAGGTGCTCCCCCCCCCTTGCCGGTGACCCCTCCCGCGGCACTGTCCGAAGGAGCAGGGGGGGCAGGGGACGAGAGCTCTCGAAAGGGAAGGGGCAACAAGAAACATCTACCGCTACTCACCGGACCTCTTCCGGGGTGCGTCCTGACCGGGATTTCGAAGCGAACCCAGCGGTGTCGGCGAGGGCCTCCCAGGAGGCTCAAGAAGGGAGAAGCGAGGGAAGGGTATCGGTATCGATACCTTTTCCCCTCCGCGAGGAAGGACAAGAGCTCTCGAGGGGGAACGCGGGAGGGGAGGGATGCGGGCCGGGGCGAGCTAAGGCCGCCGCGCCCACGCTCCACATGTCGCACTGGCCACAGGCGCGGCGGCCCTGGCCGCGACGCCAGGGCCGCGGAGGGGGAGGGTAGGGGGGGGGTACCGAAGGGGCCCAGGGACACACCAAGGAATGGACACAACTCCCATGATTCCCCACATGCTCTATATTTTCTAGATGGTCGCCCTCCCCTGCAGTCTTCCCAGTGTTTCCCATGCTTCCCTAGGAATCGGCGATCATTTGCGTCTGTGTGTCTTTTATCCCTCCTGAGCTGCGCTGGCGCTCCCCGCGCTCCCTTTGGGAACGCGCGCTGCCATGGATGGCGGATCTGTGGACATCGACTCCTCTGGGGAGGCCCTGCGTTCGTGAGCTGGTTCCCCCCAGGGCTCCACTCGGGCTCCCCCGCCCCATCCCCCATGTTTCTTTCGGCGGCAAGCGGAAGGGGGAAGTGAGAATTGAGCAGGGACCGACCGTCCCAGCATTCCTATAGTCCTACCACGAAATGCTCTCAGAACCCAAATATGTTCTAATAACAAAAACAATGTTCTTAGAACATGAGCCCGATGTGAGAAACAAGACGATCCCAGCCAGAAATGTTCTAAGAACATTTCGTGGAAACCACAAAAGGTTATCATAACATTGTTTGGTAGGGTTATAGGCGAGCCAGGACGCTTCGCCAATGCTTGAGAGAAGGAGAAGGCCTTCTCAGAAGGGTCGGAAGTCCCCCGGTCTTCGGAGAAGTTCCTTTCAGCCTTCCCAGAGGACAAAACAAAACAACTTCTAAGAAGACGAGGGGGCTTCTGAGAAGTCCCGCCGCCTTCTGCGAAGACCTTCTCCTTCTCATTCCCCCCCTCGCTCGCCGCAGATCTTGGGGGGCGCAGGCGTGGGGCGGCTGTGCTGTCGACGGGGAGCATCCTCGCGGATTCCTCCCGCCGCCGCTCCCCCAGGGGCCGCCACCCCGCGGCCCTCGTCCGCCAGGGAGCCTTGCCAAGGAACCGGCGCGCGGGCGCCAGATCCACGGGTCGGGTCACGTTGCTCATCCCTGAAATACTTGCGAGCACCCGGAAAAGTGCGGAAGGAGTGTCGAAGCAGGGTCGGACGAGCGTCTCCCAGGGCCCGAGACGTGAAGACCCTCGAGTTTCGGTACTTCCTTGGTACTCGAGATTCTTCCTGGTGGTCGAGGCTAAAGCAGGTTGGAACATCATAGGGTCGGGGAAGGCCCCCGCTGAGACGCAGCGGCAGTGCCGCCCGATCTGGGACGGAGCGCGCCGATGCTGCTCGCTGGGCCCGGCGCTGGCCCGCACGCCTCGACACATGGTTGCACTTCCTTGGCCCTTGCCTCCGTGCAGTCAAGCTGATAACTCGGAGGCGGCTGGGGTGACCGAGCTGGATAATCCCAGAGGGAATCTGCCGTGAAAACAAAGTCGCCCCCACTCGGTCCCCAGACCCCTCCCGGGGTCCAAACTGGCCAACTTTTCGAGCCGCGCCCAGCCGTGGCGACGAGGGCCCTCTCTCTCCCGCCTTTCTGCTGAAAGGTGGCCAGTGCTGGGCCACCTCGGCGACCCCCCCCCAGCTCTAAGCTGCTACCCGCCAGGTTCCCCTCCCGTGGAATCACCGCCGGACAACAGCACCCCATGATTGGCCTAGAGGAGCGGAAGTCAGAAACAGGTCTTACGCGAGATGGCACAACGACACTACGCCGTGCCTTACGCGGGCCGCCAGCGCGGCGCGCCACGTTGGAAGCGACGGCGCTCACGCGCGACCTTACACGCGCAGCCTACGCTTAGGTCGGGCACGTCCCCCTACAGGCCCATTTGGACGAAAAATAAAGAATAGTCAAACAAAAACACTCCAAAATGATCAAACATAGTCGACACGTCGTCCCCGCACTATTTTTGGACTACCTTTGAATGCTCCTCCTGTAGGGGGGCAGGCCCGACTTCAAGCCTGCGCGCGAGGGGCGGCGCGGCCTCTCCCGAAATGACGGCAGGGCCCCGAGGGCGAATTCCCCGAGGGCGGGACGGCGAGCCCGCGCGCCGACCCCGCTGGAAACCTGGCCCGGGCGGCCGGCAGCAAGGGGGGGGGGGGGAAGGCCGTGGCGCGGAGGGTGGCGCGAAGAGAACCCCAAGCAGGATCGCGTCGTTAACAAACATCAGGGCAAGAGGCGTGGCGGCGCGCACAAGGGGTGGGGTGAGGGGGGAGGGCTTCTCAGAAGGAGGCTGCTTCTTAGGAGGCCCCGGCCTTACATCTGCGCCTTCTAAGAAGCAGGGGTGCTTCTAAGAAGCCCTCCCCCCTCCCCCAACTCCCACCCCCCTCTGCGCGTGGCTGACAGTTTTTTTGCTGTTTTCGGCCCCGGGGGGCCCTCGCAGGGCCTCGGGACTGTCCAGAAACTACCCAGGACGAAAAGCCGGTCCGGGGGAAAGGGTCGGGACCTCCAGGGACGCTGTGCTGAACAAACATCGGGACGTCGCATGTCTGGGACGGCTCGAGGTGCGCACGGGCATGCTCCCTTACGAAACGGTCTGCTTTCGGGAACGTCTTGAAGGGGCCCTGGGACACACAAATAAATGCAAACAAATAACAGGATCTCCTTATATGTTCCCACATTTTCTGGAGTTTTTCTTCCCCCCACTTCCCATATTTTCCCATCTTTTCTCGAACATCGACGAGGAATTTGTGCATATGTGTTCGTTCCCCTCCCGAGGACAGCGCGCTGCCCCCCCCCCCCCCCCGCGGGACGGGAGGCCAGGGCAAAGCTCGGGGTGCAGGCTCCCCCGGCATGGGGGGCGCGGTCCGCGTGTCGCGCCCGGGAGCGTCGAGGGGCCAGCGCCGGCGGCGCGGCACGCGGGCCAAGAGAGCTCCCCAGGCAGGATCGCGGCGTAACAAGAAAGTTCCGGACGGGAGGTTTTTGGCTATTCTCGGGCCCTGGGGGCCCTCGCTCGGTCGCGGGGCCGTCGAGAAAAGGACTCAGGACGAGAAACCGGTCCCGGGGAAAGGGTCGGGACCTCCAGGGGCGCCGTGCTGAAAAAGTCGGGGCGTCGCCTGTCTGGGTCCCGGCCGTGTAAAGAGCGGCGCCCCGCTTTGGCCCCAAAATTCGCCTGGGCGCGCGAGGAGCGCCAGGTGCACACCCGTGGTGAGCCACAGCGAACAGACAATAGGGGTATGATTCAGGACCGCCCCTCCCCTGTTTCCCTCAAGAGATCGCCCTGAAGAAAGCGTCAATGTATCAATCTACCCTCTCTGAATGCACAATAGGACCCTTCCCCAGGGCAGACTGTCAGCAAGCGTGTTGTTTTTCATTACCCAAATCGACTGGGGCGCATTCCCCGAGCGCGCGGCGGTTCGTGAAGGGGTGGGTGACTGAAGCAACCAAATGTGTTACAACATATTCCCGACGCATGTTGGCCAAAGGTACGAGGGTGCGGCAAAACGGCGGGCGGGCCCCACAGACTCTCTGACATCTCTTCCGCAAGCTCACTGGCCTGGCAGGCGCGGTAGAGATCGCATATTTTCTACACCGACCACGGCAGGCGATTCCCCTAAGTGGTTTGGCTGGCGTGGGGGAACCTATCCGAAAATTAGTCCACGGGGCCGGCGGATATCCAAAGATTTCCTCTGTTGGGGGCGGGGTTTGTCGACCGATACATTCATGCACTTCCCCGCCGCCCAACTGGTGGGGGTCTGATAAGTTCAATCCTGAGGCGGCCCCGGAGGCCCCGCAGACCGCCCCCCAAGCTGCCCAAGAGGCCCCTACGAGGGCCCCAAGATGGCCCAAGAGCGTTCCAAGACGGCCACAGATCGCCGCAAGAGGGCCCCAAGAGAGGCGAAGAGGGAGAGCACGAGCCGAGAATCCTATCTTTCCGCCCCGCGAGGCCACCCAAAGGCCCCAAGAAGGCCCCCAAGCGGCCCAAAAGATGGCCCCAATATGGCCCAAGACGCACTCAAGAGGTCCAGAAGAGGCCCCAAGGCGGCCCCCGACACGCTCCAAACATGCCTCCAAGAGGCTCCGCCAGGCCCCCAAACAGCTCAGACGACGCCAACAACAATCCCCACATAGTGCCCAAGAAACCCACGACGCCTCAAACGTGGACTCCACGCCTCTTCTGGGGGTCGGCGGAATGGCGTAAGCCTCTTGGAGAAGTACCTCCCTCGGGCCTGGCATAAGTTCTGTGCGCTGTACGCGTGCGTTGGCGCGCGGTCTTGTCTGTCGAGGTCCAGTCGAGACTCTCTTCGTCGCTCTCGGCATTGCTCCATTGCTCCCTCCTTTCCTCCCCCACGTGGCGAGACAACGCAGCCAGTCCTAACGCCAGGGTCTGGCCCTCCCACCTCGGTCGGACCGAGAAGTCGGCACAGGGATAATTAGGGGAAAAGGGGACGGGGACGGGGAACAAAGCAAGGGAGGCCTGGGCAATTCGGTTCCATGCCAGCCTCCCGCTCGAAAATCACGAGGCGGGATGCGCGAAAGACAGTGTGAGCCCCCCCCTCATGATGATGATGATGATGATGATGATGATGATGATGATGATGATGATGATGATGATGATGATGATGATGATGATGATGATGATGATGATGATGATGATGATGATGATGATGATGATGATGATGATGATGATGATGATGATGATGATGATGATGATGATGATGATGATGATTGATGATGATGATGATGATGATGGATGATGATGATGATGATGATGATGATGATGATGATGATGATGATGATGATGATGATGATGATGATGATTATGATGATGATGATGATGATGTGATGATGATGATGATGATGATGATGATGATGATGATGATGATGATGATGATGATGATGATGATGATGATGATGATGATGATGATGATGATGATGATGATGATGATGATGATGATGATGATGCTGATGATGATGATGATGATGATGATGATGATGATGAGGAGGAGGAGGAGGAGGAGGAGGAGGAGGAGGAGGAGGAGGAGGAGGAGGAGGAGGAGGACAGAGAGGATGATATTCTGTGGCGGCGAGTGGAGAGGACCGCTTCGACGAAAAATTGCCTGCCCGCTTTGCTTCCGCTTCGCCAGAAGACAAGCAACATACTCCCCAAGCAACGCTTGCACACTGAGGCGCGAGTTCTCTTCCGTTTCCAAGCGCTTGGGTGGGTGGCCTGGGTTTCCGGGCGCTGGCCGCCAGCGGGCGCCTCGTGAGCATCGTGCGCTGGCGGGGTTCCTCAGGAATGCCGCCCCGGTCGCCTCCCGTGGGCGCCCCGTGGGCATCTCTCGTGCGCTGGCCGGGTCCCCCGGGTTGTCGCCCGGTCGTCGCCCGTGGACGCCCCGTGGGCGCCTCGCCTCGTGCCATTGCATGGGCCTCCGGGTTTTTTGCCTCGTCGCCGCCCGTGTGCGCCGGGCGCCTCGTGCGCTGGCTGGCTTCCCCAGGCTTTCGCCAGGTCATCGCCCGTGGGCGCCTCGTTGCCGCCTGCATCACTTGTGCCACACGGCTTTCGGCATGTAGCTTGCACTACTCAGATGGCGCCACACAGTCTGTAGCCCTTTTGGCTCAAGCCCCACTTGGACCCCATTCGAGGTGCAAAGGGGGTGAGAGCCCTGTAGCCTGTCGGGCTCAGTGGCGCCGCCCTCGCGCGTCGGGTCTTATCCTGGGGGGGCGCGCGCGGCGGGCGGGTGCGTGGGCTCGGGGGTCCTCCTCCCCCCTCGCCTCTGGTGGCGGCGGCGGCAGGCGCCGGCGGCGAGGCGCCGCCAGGCGGGGGCCACTGGTGCTGCTGCGGGGCGGCTTGCTGGCCCGTCCAGGGCGTGGTGCTGCACAGGTGGGCGGCGCCCTTCGAGGTGCAGCAGGCGGGCACGCTGGCCTTAGGTCGGGCCTGTCCCCTCACAGGGGGATTTTGGGCGAAAAATTATAGAAATATCCAAAAGATATTCAAAAGATGCGCAACAAAAACTCAAAAAATAGTCCCCAGACTATTTTTTGACTATTTTTGAATATTCCCCCTGTAGAGGGACAGGCCCGACTTCACGCTGGCCACACTGAGCGTGGAGGCGGTGGCGGCTGGGGTGCGCCGTGGCCGCGAGCTCTTGGGTCTGCTGGGGCAGCCGTGGTCTGCCAGGCCGGATCGCACGTCGCGGCGCCTGCGGGGGGCTCCTCCCGTGGAGCCGACGGTCGCCAGCTGGGGCTGAGGCCCCAAGCCCCCGCCTTCGTCCTGGCGGGGCCGGCGCCGGGCGAGCGGCACGAGCAGGAGGACGCCGAGGAAGGCGTGGAGGGCGACGAGTCCCCAGACATGCGACGTCCCGATTTTTTCAGGACGGCGTCCCTGGAAGCCCCGGCCCTTTCACCGGGACCGGCTTTTCGTCCTGAATTGTTTTTGTTCACAGTCCCGAGGCCCGGCGAGGGCCCCCCACAGGGCCGAAAATGGCCAAAAACCTCCCGTCCGGATTTTTGCTACGATGCGATCATGTCCGGGCGAGAGGGCGTTGAGGACGACGGGTCCCGGCAGGATCCCGTGCCGAGGTGGGGGCGCTTCGCGGAGGGGGCCTGGCGGGTGGCCCCGTGCCCTGAGCCGCACGGCCGCGCCGCTCCCAGACCCCCGACGTCGTGAGAAACTCACGACGTCGGCCCCCCGAAGTCTGAAGACCTTCCCGAGGCCCGGCGAGGGCCTCCCGAGGCCGAAAATTGTCAAAGACCTTCGTCGTGAGTTTCTCGCGATTTCGGAGGCCTGGGCAGCCGGAGTCGCCGCCGCAGCCGAGGCTCCCGTGGGGGGCCCTCGGGGCCCGGGTGAAGTCGCGGCCGCGCGCCCGTGCGCGCGTGCCGCCCCGGCGCCCCCGCGCTGCCTGTGGCGGCAAGCGAGGGAGGCCTTTCGCGGCGCTGGCCTGCGACGACGAGGAGGAGGAGGAGGAGGAGGAGGAGGAGGAGGAAGCAAATGAGGAGGAGGAGGAGGAGAAGGAGGAGGAGGAGGAGGGGGAGGAGGAGGAGGAAACAAAGGAGGAGAGGAGGAGGAGGAGGAGGAGGAGGAGGAGGAGGAGGAGAAGCAGGAGGAGGAGGAGGAGGAGGAGGAGGAGGAGGAGGAGGAGGAGGAGGAGGAGGAGGAGGAGGAGATGTGTGCATCGTGCATCAAAGGGGTCGTTCCTGAGGGTGACGACGATGACGTGCCGGAGGCGGCGATGGCGGTGGCGGCCGAGGAGCGCAAGGCCTGCGCCACTGTCTCCAACGTCAGCGTGCAGCAAGGGGGCGTCTCGGAGGGCGCCGTCGAGCTCGTGCACGGAGGCGCGATGCTGCTGCCGAAGGTGCCCGAGGGCGCGACAGGTGAGGACGACGTCGAGGCGAAGTCCGAGGGGCTCGATGGGGGCGTCGACGAGTACGGCGCGCCCGACGAGACGCAGGAGGACGACGGCATGGGCGAGCCTGTGCTAAACTGCGAGAAGGGGACGAGTCCGAGGTGTTTGAGGGCTACCTGGACGGCGGCAGGGGCGACGTCGGGAAGCGGGAGGGCACTGCGGTGCCGCCTCCGCCCGAGGCGCCGCCGGGCGGGCGCCCCCAGCTGCAGCCTGCGGCCAACGCCGACAGGCGGAGGCGCAAGGGGGCCGAGAGGACCGAGGCGAAGAAGATCCAGGCCGGGCTCGTGGACGCCGGCCGAGGCGCGGAGGCGCGCTTCGCTGGAGTGCGAGCGGCTGGAAGCGAAGGTTCGCGAGCTGGCAGCGGCTGGCCAGCGAGCCGAGCGGCGCCGCCGGCAGGCGGCGTCGGCGACAGTGGCGGCGAGGCAGGCCGAAGCGGAGCTGTGCGAGCTCGCGAAGGCCGAGGAGGAGCGCCTGGGGGAGTTCCCACCGCTGTGATGCAGCGGGGCTCCTGCGGGAACCTACGTCAGGCCTGCGAGAAGTGATCGTGGGTTCCGTAAAGTCGGAAGCACAAGATTGCGCCACATAGTTTGCACCACATGATTTCCACCACTAAGATTGCACCACATAGCTTGAACCGCGTAGCCTGCACCACACAGATTGTACCACACAGCTTGAACCACACACATTGTTTCACGTAGCTTGCTCCACATATATTGAACCATGCACCTTGACCATCCAGATTGCAAGACACTCGCTGCTCGGGGCCCACGTTCGCAGACATGTGTGATCAGTCTCTCTCTCTCTCTCTCTCTCTCTCTCTCTCTCTATATATATATATATACAAGACTGCACTGGCGCTTCGCGCCGTGCATCTTGTTTCGCAGCCTCTCGTCTGAACGCCTTGATCTTGAATAAGCTCGTCATGGGCTCGTAAAAGCCAGCATGTCTTTTGGAAGCTATTGTGGTACTTTCGGGAGCCTGGCTTGGGCCTCTTGGGGGGCTGGAGCCTGTTAGGGGCCTCTGTGGGAGTCCTTGGGGCCTTTCGGCGACAATTTTGGAGCTTCTTTTGGCTGTCTTGGGCGTCTCTTGCGTCGATTTGGGGCCCTCTTGGACCGTCGTCGGGGCCTTTCGGGCCCGGTTGGAACAGTTAGGGGGCGTCTTGGTCCGTGTTTGAATCCCGGAAGGCGCAAAACCCGTACATGTTAGAAATGTGTGTTTCTCCATCGGAATTTGACGGTTTTGGCCTCTTGGGGCTCCCTTCGGAAGCCTCTGGTGGGTTCCTCGGGCCGCTTTGCTGCGAACCCGGGCTCCCTCAACGACCGGGTCACGATGTGGATTGCTTTGGGGAGCGTCCTGGAGCCGTCCTGGGCCGTCATGGGCATCTCTTGGAGCCATATTAAGGCCCTGTTGGGCCATCTTGGCGCTCGCTTGGACTGTCCGGAGGCCGGTCTGGTTGGGTTTGGGACGATTTTCGGTGCCTCTCTCGGGCGGTCTTGGACGCCCGGAAGACCGAAGAACCGAGGTTCCAAGAATCTCTGAAAAACTATGCGAAAATCAATGTTGTTTTTTGTCACATCGAGGTGCAAATCGGAGTGCTCTTTAGGCCGTCTTCGGGCGCACGGTGGGTTCTTGGAGCCGCTTGGGGCCTTCGCAGGGCCGTTTTGCCACCCTCCTGACCGCTTTGGGCCCGCTGGCTAGGCCCGGCAAGGGCGTCCAGGTGGACCGGAGGCCCAGGGGACCCCTTGCAAGAGCGTCCAGGGGGGTCCGAAAATCCCCAGATCCCAGGGGTACGGATTTACCGGGGGGGGGGGGTCCCACCCCCCCCGGGTTGTAAAAATATAGAAAAGGGAATATGTATCGAAGCGGCGAGCGATTCGGACACTCCACGGTGCAAGATCAAACGGTGCAGGTCAGACAGACTGCCCCTCGCCGGCTCGCTGCACCAGGCGGCAAGCTCGGATGCGATGGCCGCTCCCAGATTAGGTCCACCCGCTCCCGCGCCGGCCGTCGCCCTCCTGCCGCACCGCCCAGCTCTCGAGGGCCCAGGACAGACTGAGCACGTGCTCGCTACAGCATTCGGCCTGACCTAAGGAACGATAAATGAGGAACGGAGCCCCTTTCTTCTCAAGTAAACCTAGGAGGTCCGAGGGAACACCAGAGGGGGCTCGCCGCCAACAAGGTAGCGGAACGCATGCAAGCCGAAGGAACCACCGAGCCACTTCTGAAGAGTAAGTGTTCCTTGTTCAAGCCGGACCCTGTACTCCCTCGTGGGGACACCCCATCATCCCTCCGGGATGTGCGCTACAGAAGTGTCCTTCCCTGGCCTGTCAGCCCCTCTCGTGGCCCCACCAGTTCCCCGAAGACAGGCGGCGCGTCGGAGGCAGCCTGCGCGTCGGTGGCGGCCGCCGCGGGCGGGGCGCACCCCGCGACAGGCGGGTTCAGCTCCTCCCCAGTCACCGCTGCACCCTACAGTCAACCAGTATAGTAAGGATGCGCGGTAAGGATGCAAGGGCAGTGGACGCCCACTCCGAAGCCTTTCGGGCGGGGCGCGGCCTGCGAAGGCGGCGAAGGATGGGCCGAGGGAACAAGGTTGCAAGGGTACCCTTGGGAAGGTTGCCCATCTTTATTGTGCGAGTTGACTGTACCATGTGCACATGGACATGCCATTGTGCCTTGCACCCTGCCTTTCGTCAGGACGCTACACACGTCGATCGCTCTGGCCCAACGAAGCTCCGAGCATCTCCTGTCCAACCATCTCTGAAGGCGGTGGCACACCGAGTGGCGCTGGCTCCCGCGACCACGCCACATCTCATGACATGGAGGACACCAAAGGCCCAAACGTGTGAGGAGCGGGATGGGAGAGTCTTCACGGATGTCCCGCAGGTTGGGAAGCTCTTCACACCATGCTGCAATCAAACCAGCAGTTAGTGTGAGCAGTGGAAAAGTGTTCAAGGACGCTCTGATTACGAACTGCATCTACACGGCGACTCGCTCTTACGCACCAAATGTGTCATGGCATCCCCATATTATTTAGTCTCATTTTCATTATCTTGATCCTCCTCGCCTACTCCCTGCTCTTTCTCCTGATGCACGCCCTCCTTCTCCTCCTCCTCCTGCACTTCCCCCTGATCCTGCTGCTGCTGCTCCTCCTCATCATCATCTAACTTATTCGCCTTCTGCCCCTCAACTCCCCTGTTAATCTTGCTGTTCCGCTTCCTCCTCCTGCTGCTGATGGTCCTCCTCCCCCTCCTCGTTCTTGTCCTCCTCCAGGTTTTGCCAGTCGCCCCCCAGTGATCTGGCAATGTCGCACACATTTGCATCGGGTGCGTCGGATCGGACTGCATCGGCACAGCGTCGGATCGGCCGCTCCAAGATGCACAACAACGCCGTACAACATCGAGCCGCGTCGGCCACTCCAAGATGCAAAACAGCGCCGTGCAAAATCGAGCCGAGTTGGATCGACGGAATCTCTGAACGGAATTGGGTTGGGCCTCAGAACGGAATCGGATCGGCCCCTCCAAGATGCATAACAGCGCCGTGCCAATATCGAGCCGCGTTGGATCGACGGGATATATCATTGCACCGGCCTTTCAGACGTGCTGCAGCGGATTTCTGCGTGGATTTCTACGTGGATGCTTTGCCTGGCACGGCGAGCGAAACACGAAGTTAATTTCGCGTGGATTCTTTTTTTGTCTTCATTCCTGGCCCCAAAAAAATCCGCGCGAAATTCACCCCATCGGAGCGAAGTTCTCCAAGACACTCCGGGCCCACCCTGTGGTTCTCCGAACGAAGTCCACTCTGCGACGTTGGCTCCCTGTCTGTCTCTGCTACGACTCCCTCGGCCCACATGGGAACGTCTCCTTCGCCTTCTCCTGCTCCCTTCCACCTTAATCCCCCTCCTCCTCCTCCTCCTCGTATTCGTCGTCGTCGTCGTCGTCGTCGTCGTCGTCGTCTTCAGGGTCGGCGGCACCGGCCGTAAGGCCTTAGCAATATCTGAATGGAATTGGGTCGGGCCCAAATCGCGCCGCATCGCCGCAGCATCGCCGCGGCATCGGCGACGCGGCGCGACCCTCCCAGCCACTAGCTCTCCGGCCACGGTCGGGCGATCTGAGGGGTGGAGCACCTCTTCGTTCGCGGGTCCCTCCTCGCGGGACTGAGAGAGATGGAGGAGGAGGAGGAGGAGGAGGAGGAGGAGGAGGAGGAGGAGGAGGAGGAGGAGGAGGGGGAAGAGGAGGAGGAGGAGGAGGAGGAAGAGGAGGAGGAGGAGGAGAAGGGAGAGAAGGGAGGAGACGGAAGAGCAGGGGAAGGAGGAGCAGGAGGAGCAGGCGGAGGAACAAAGAGGGGACGAGCGTACGAGGAAGCCCTGGTCGCCGCAAAAGCAGAATAAGGAGGAGGAGGAGGAGGAAATGAAGACGAGGAGGAGGAGGAGGAGGAGGAGGAAATGGACGACGAGGAGGACGACGGCGACGACGAACAGGAGGAGGATCCAACGAAGCCGATGGGGGCTCCGATCCTATCTCGGCCGCGCTGTGGCCACACCCCGCCCAACAGGCCAGGCGACGACAAAGAGCACCACCACAGCCATGACGACGACGGACCCAGACCTGAGGGCAACGATTCCTGGGCATCGACGCTTGATTGTGTCCGGGACTGGCGAGGAGGATATGGAGAGAAGTCGGGCGTGTCCCTCCACAGGAGGAATCTTCGAAAGTAGTGAAAAACAGCCTGGGGACGATGTTTCTAGCATTTGGGGCGCATTTGTTTGGAGCATTTTTGTTTCTCGCCCAAACTCCTCCTGTAGGGGGGACAGGCCCGACCTAAACATAGAGTAGGAGTCGGAGGAACGAGGAGGCTTGAGGGGCAACGATAGGGGGGGACTGGCATAAGGGGGGGATGCATCGACCTGGAATCGGCGATACATCGCCGATAGATCGGCGATGGGCCTCCGATAGTGAATCCGCAACTTCCTGAACAGGCTGGGGCTATCGGGCCCTTATCGGCGATCGATTGACGATTGGGGGTCGATGCATCCCCCCCCATGCCCATCCCCCCCTATCGCTGCCCCTGAAGACCCCCGAGGCTAACTTCGACCCCCAGAGGTCTGGACTCTTTCTCCAGGACTGGCTTCGCATCCCGAGCCGTTTTTTTCGCCAGCCACTGGGCCCGCCGACGGCGCGCCAGAAGCCGAACACTGCCAAAAGCCTCCCGTCGCGTACGCTTCACGGCGCGAGCATGCTGCCTTCGGGGACTGCCAAAGCTGCCCCTGGCCCAGGGTGTCCCCAGCTCTTCGTCGCTCCCTTTTGGAGCCCCTGGGGCCCTCTGGGCCTCGTGAGGGGTGCTCTGAAGGCCGTGGGGACCTCCTTGGGAATCCCGGGGGCCCCTTTGGCAATGGGGCACTTCTAGCAGCACCCGATGCTTGGCTTCCGCAAGGGCTCCTAACTCCGCGCTTCACGCCGCGCGAAGCGCGAACAACTTCGCGCTCTCGCGCCGCCCCGAAAAGGGAGGAGAGGAGGACGAGGAGGAGGGGGAGGAGGAATGAGGCCCGCGAAGCGCGAAGCGCGACTAACTTCGCGCCCTCGTGGGAGCCCTTGCTTCCGGGACTTAAAACTCGGCTCTCCGGCGGCCGCTCGGGACGATCCGGCCACTCCTGGCACGCTGGGCGAGGCGCAGCCGCTGGAAGGCCTCCCGAGGCGGCAGAGCCGCCCAGGAGAACGCACGAACACCTCGAATCTCGCCGAAGGCGCCGAACCGAATCGAATCGCACCGCGTCGCCCGGAAGCCTCGAGCCTCGAATGCCGAAGCCGACATGCCCGAGCGCCGACAGAAACGCCCGA